CACTGCTATGTGAAATAAGCCAGTCACAGGGAGACAAATCCCACATGACCCCACCTACATGATGTACCTGACATGACCAGACACACACCAGTGTAAGGCAGACCTGTAAGCTGAGCATGAGGACACAGCATTTTGGAGGAGGAGCAGGAATTCAGTGTCATCCTTAGCAACCTAGAAATTCTGAGGTCAGCTTGGGTGGCATGAGATTCTATTTCAAAATCGGGGTGAGACTGAGGAGGGGGAGGAAAAGTATAATTATGTTTTCTGGAATTGGGGACAAAAGGGGTGTTGTCAATAAGCACACATCTTGAATTTTGCAAGATATAAGGGTTCTTGAGATCTGATGCACAACATGTGAGTGTAGTTATCAGTAAAAACCCACATATTTCAACATAATGAAGATGGAAAGTTTTATGTGTTTTTTAAAGCACAATGCTCAAAATGATATTGTTTCTAGCACCACATTCTTTCCTGACCAGTGTGGCCTTTGCTGTCCTTTCTGCCTGGACCATTTTCTCCCCTGTTTTTCACATGATAGGACACTTTCATTATTTTAGTCAGCTTAGATTTTTCCTACTTAAAGTCACCTCCCTCAGAAAACAATTATTTTCTTTTATATTAAGTTCCACTCCAGTGTTACCATCAATCATGTTTTTACTGTTTTCTAAATATTTGTGGCAATGTGTAGTTAGTTAATATACTCATTTGTTTGAAATTTAATCTATGAAGAAAGCAAGATGTATTTTAAACTATGCACATGACTTAATAGCAGACACATAAAAGATTTATATATACGAATATACATATATGTGTATATATTCCAAGTAAGCAGAGTCTGTTCTCCTCCTTCTACCTTCTTCTCCTGTGGATCAAAATCAGGACACCAGGCTTTGCTGCTACAGCTGTTACCAGCTGAGTTGCTTCATTAGTCCCTTGTTCCTTTTTATATTCTGGAAATGTCAAAAGAAAACCAATGCCAATGGACCAGCTCTTGCTAACCAATCTATAACTATAATAAAATAGTGTGAAGCAAAAAAAAAACTACAAAAATGGGAAATTCTGTATTATGGATGACCACCAAGGAGAATACAAAAGTATTGCATTGGGAGCATGTGACATTCTTAGAAGACAATGATGAAGTAGAGATCTCCCTCCAGCTTCCCCCTTTATGGGCTGAGAAATGAAGCCAGTGTTGAGAAAGTGACTTTGTAAAGATCACTATCCACAGTGCTTCCAGGCTGCCTGAGATTGTGAAAATATGACACATTTTACTTTCCCCAGCTTTTTGTTTGGATTTGCTATAATTCTGGTTTTTCTTCTTTTGTTTTCTAAACTAAATTTTATAAAATTACAACCAATTCCACGAATGTTTACTGTGTACTTAATTTATGCATGATATCACAAAGGAGTGAAAGGAGTCTAACAGAGTCCTTGACTTAGAGGTGCAATTAAAAATCACTGATTGAAGCTGGGTGGTGGTGGTGCATGCCTTTAATCCCAGCACTCTGGAGATAGAGGCAGGCAGATCTCTGTGAGTTCAAGGCTAGCCTGGTCTACAGAGTGAGTTCCAGGACAGTCAGGGCAATACACAGTCAGGGCAATACCAAAAAACCCTGTCTTGCTTAGTAGACTTCCTAGGGGAGGCCTTACCCTCTCCATGGAGCAAATGGAAGGAAGGGTGGTGGGGGAGGAGGGCTGAGGGGGAGAGGAGGGAGGGGGAACTGGGATTGGCATGTAAAAAAATAAATTAATAAAAAAAGAAAAAAACAAACAACCCTGTCTCAGGGAAGATGGGTGGGGAACAAAATCATAGGTCAGCTCTCCTTTCTTCTAGTATAGAACTCCACATCTTGCATTCTCAAACATTGCCCTCTCATTTTTTGTGGCTATTTTTATTTGGATTTTCAATCTCACTCTTACACTGTCTAAATCTTCCTTGTTAGTAAATATAACTTGTTTATTTTTTATGGTAACTTGACTCCACAAAACATGTCTTAGTTACTGTTGTGGTTTGGAAAAAAGTTGGCCCCCAAAGGGAATGGCAATATTAGGAGGTATGGCCTTGTTGGAGAAAGTGTGTCATTGTGGGGATGGGCTTTGAGTTTTCTTTTGTTCAAGTTTCCCTCAGTGTAACAGTCAGCTGACTTCCCACTGCCCGCAAGATGTAGCACTGTCAGCTCCAGGACCACGTCTGCCTGCACACTGCCATATCCCACCATGATGATAATGAACTGAACCTCTGAAACTGTAAGCAGGCCACCCCAGTTATAAGAATTGCTGTGGCCATGGTGTCTCTTCACAGCAATAGAAACCCTAAATAAGACGGTTGCTATTACATTGCTGTGAAAGACACCATGACCAAGGCAACTATTCTAAGAGAAAGAATTTAATTGAGGGCTTTTTTTTTTTTTTTTTTTTTTACAATTTCGGAGGTTTAATCCATCGTCATCATGGTGGGGAGCATGGCAGTAGTCAGATGCTAGAACAATGCTACATCCTGATCCATGGGCAGAGGGAGACTCCGAGCTTGGCTTTTGAAACCTCAAAGTCGACCCCCAGTGACACACTTCCTCCAACAAGGCCATGTCTCTTAACCCTTCTAATTCTTTCAAATAATGCCATTCCATGGGTGGGGAAGAGACGCCCCAACCACCCACTCATCGACACCTGAGGCAGGCAGGGGAGCTAGCCCTGAGGTCAGAAGGGCAGGAGAGCTACCCCTGCCTACTAACAGCTGCAACACTCAGGAGAGCAGGCCCTGTACCTCTCCTGAGCAGCACAATAGAGCCAATCCTGTTGGCAGAGGTATGGGTGAGCCAGCCCTGATGTTGTGAGCACGGAAGAGCTTTCCCCATAGTTATCTGTCATGTGGTGGCATGGGCAGGAGAGAGGCCACCCCCATCAATGCCTGAGCCGGGTGGGAGAGCTGGTCATAAGAATGTGAGAGCTGTTCCTGCCCCTCATCTGCAGCACTCAGGACAATGGCCCTGAAGGTGTAGGTGCGGGTGAACAGACACTGAGGATGTGAAAGCAGGAGAACTGGCCCCACCCCTTGCTCATAACTGCAAGGGATGAACTCCTGCAACACAGGAGAGCTCACCCTAGTGGGGAGGGCAAGGGAAAGCAGGCAGGCTGACCAACCCTGCAATTACCCAGGCTCAGAACCAGGGTTATGTGTTGACCCACTCCAACATCCATCCCATCTGTGATCTTCTGGAGCATGTAAAGGGACCAGTCCTCCAGACCCAAAGCTGCAGGATTTCCACAACACAAGGCAACAGCAGGATAACCAAAAGGAGTCCCAGTGAGGGCCCAGCATCTATAGTGTAGCAGAAACCAGAGGCCTCCAACCAGACCAATGACTCTTGCAATAAACACTTGCAAATAAAGATATATGGATAAAAGGGTTTACTTTGTGACTCACTGTGTAAATTTTATTGGGGGGGGGTCTGCAAGGGCAGAGAGAGGGCAGATTCACGGGGATGGGAAATGAATGGGATCGAGATGCATAATGTGAAATACACAAAGAATAAATAAAAAGAAAGTTTTAAAAATTCAAATAGCACCCCTCCTTTGTGACTAAGCGTTTAAAACTGTGACCCTATGGGGGCCATGCTTATTCAAATCACCACAAAAAGGAATCCCCTAAAATTTAAACTTGACAAGGTGGCTTCCATTTCTCCCATTAACCAAAATACTTCTGGAAGATCAATAGTAGCCTGGGAGTCAATAAATCTAATGGCTTTTCTGTACTGTATTTTCTCTTAAGTTTTGACACTAACAGTCACTCTGTCTCCTTTCTACTTCATGGGGGCAGGAGGAGAGCTTTGGGGGTTAGACCCTGCTGGACAAGTGCTCTACCATCTCCCACACCCTTCTTCCATTTCTAATTTGTTTTCCTTTTTTTAAGTGTTAGGGATAGAACCCTTGTTAGTGTTATAAGGAACAAGACTTGGTCCTCCCCACTGTGCCTTTCTGTTTTACCCTGTAATCTCCCATCTTGTATGTGCTCCTTCCATGAGGTCATCAACCATATGACATAGAAAAGAGGACACTGACAAGAGGCCAAAATAATGGAGCTATTTGATCTTGGATTTTCAACCTCCCAAATGGAGTTAAATAAACCTTTTATAAAATACCCAAATTCTGATACCTCAGAGCACCAATAGAAAATTGACATTCTTGTAAACACTCTGCCTTGGACTCTTCTTCCTAGAGATGGCAGTTAGGAGGATCCCTGTGCTAAATGACTTTCTACCCTTAAGAAAAAAGGCACAAGGAAGAAAAGAGAGACTTCATGATCTTTCTCTTCTTCCACTACCATTCACTTAGTTGACAAGAGAACTAGGAAGAGAACTAGACCAAGACAGGGTTAGCAATGGCTGCACTCCACGACCAGACATCCTTTGCCTTACAACCATGACTCTGTCACTTTTCTACTGAGTCTACTCTTGCAGGAGTTGATTCATGCCAAAGTATAATAATGGCTTCCTCTTATTACTACCCCCAAGGTATGGCAGCACTCCCACTTGAGTTCATTGTAGTTTTAGTTTACTAAGCTCCAACAAATGCATTGATGCCATTGTCCACCTGACTCTAAACCTGACTATATTCCTTTTCAATTGTTGCTTACTGTTACAGTTTGGATCTTAAATGTCCCCCAAAGACCCGTGTATTGGAGGCTTGGTCTTTAGCTATTTGGAGATAGTGGAGACTTTAGAAAGTGGGCTTAGTGTAAGGCCCTAGCTCATTGGAGACATTGCCTCCAAAGGAATTGTGGGACCTTGACTTTTTCCTTCGGCCACCATGAAGTGATCAGCTTGCTCCTCAAAGTGACCTTTGTCATGATAATATATCTCACTACAGTCCCAAAAGTAATGAGCCCAAGTTACTCTGGACTAAAACCTTTGAAACTCATTAGTCCAACTGACCTTTCTTCTTTTTATGCTATCTCATGCTGTGTTTGCTGCTTTTAAAACACCACGAGCAACTATAGAACATATGGAAGAAAGAAATTTATTGGGGCTTATAGTTCCAGAGAGTTAGAGTCCATCATGGTGGAGCAAAGGCATGCCAGCAGAAGCAGGAAGTCTGAATCACAAACATCAAGCACAGAGAGCAAACTAGAAATGATACATGATTTTTGAAACCTCAAACCCCCATCCCCAACAACATATTTTCTCCAACAGGGCCAAACCTCCTAAACTTATCACCAACAGCAGCACCAACTCAAATACCTGAGTCTACGGGGGAAATTCTCATCCAAACTACCACACACAAGCATTTTATCATAGTAATGGAATGCTAACACCCTCAGTTTTGTGTTGCTGTATAAACTGTGAGTTTTTGAAAGAGTATACAGTTCACCATTTTTATATCCTTAAACTTTAAAAGAATGTGTATCACATATATCTGGAAGATTAACCAATTCACCTTGATAGTGCTCCCAAAACTAGCACTACCACTTTCAGCAAGAAAGTAATGTTTGCCCAGGCAGTGGTGCCGAAGCCTTTAATCCCAGCACTCGGGAGGCAGAGGCAGGCAAATCTCTGTGAGTTCGAGACCAGGCTGGTCTACAAGAGCTAGTTCCAGAACAGCCTCCAAAGCCACAGAGAAAGCCTGTCTCAAAAAAACAAAAAAAGGAAAGAAAGTAATGTTTGATCTTCAGCATACTCAGAGATCAAGTGTGATCAACACAGGACACCAAGATTGAAAGACTACTTCCATGTGCTTCAAAAATAAATTTGAGTATGTGGCTTCCCTAACAATAGTGGATGGGCCACAGGAAGTCCTCAGCTACCACGGCAGGATCAGGCTGAGATTCTTCTGGAGCAGCTAAAGATAAAACAGAAGAAACAAGAGGAGAAATTAAGGAGATTCTACACTGGCCTGCCATCTGAAGTTGTCAATATGGTGGCAAATCAAAGAAAGACTACAAAAAGTTAGATGGCATTAACACCAGTCAATAATCAAGAATTTGCTTGTAAGTTTGGAAGAAATCTAGCAAGTGGACATTTCCAAAGAAATTCTAAACATTTGCACCTTGCTGCACCCTCTCCCCATCTTACTAAAAGTAAAGCCATGGGTCAGATTGAATGCTGTGGTATACAATGTTAGGTAGCTATCTCCTCTGGATCGGAGCCTTTCTCTTTGAAGAATGAGGCTTACAAGATTTAAGAGGCAATAAAAACAATGCTTAGTAAGGTACAGGATTCACAATACTCCAAGGTTATAAAAAGCAGTAAATGGCTGTTAGGGGGAGGCTCTCTGGTGGGGTCATCTTCAAGTTGGGCAAGGAGTTTCAGGGATGCAACTTTCATGAGTCATCACCCATGTCATGGTCAGCCTTTTGGTGATGCACTCTGCCTTTTAGTCACCCAGGCTCCTGTAAGTAACCCCAATAAACTCTTTGGTTAATCAAAGTAGACTTGGGTAGAATTATTCTTTTGTAGGGTGCTGGTTCCCTATCTGGGGTAAATAGACATTTGTTCAAACCTCTACAGGAAGTCACACACCATAGAAGAAAACTAGTTAGACGATGTGTTTATTTATGAAACTTTCTACAGTCCCCAGCTTGCAGTAGCTGTTGTCTGGCCTGCTGTTAGGCCACATAGCATTGTTCACCATAGCCACTCAACATGGCTCATAGAAATCATTTTTTAATCAAAGCATTCTTGATAGTTTTTATATATTATTTGTTCTACTTACATACTGAGATAAAACATTGTCTCTCTTACTACTTCCACTTTGCATTAATTTTTAGGTATAAAGTTGACAAATAGATTTTTACGGTCCCTTTCTCTTATTATTTGGCTTACAAATGTCATTTTAAGTGTCAGAAATTTTCCTTTATTAGGAACAATGCATCACAATGCAATATTTAAAATAGTTTAATATGCCTGTTGATTCTGTTGTGTTTTCTTTTTTATGTATGTAGACCAAGCTGACCTGGAATGCACAAAGATCCATTTGCTTCTCTTCATGAGTGCAGGGATTAAGTGCACCATGCCTACCTCCTATTTTTAAAGCATTCTAACTACAAATATGTGATAACCACTCTGTCTCCCATTCTACCCTTGTGTGATAGTGGCACTTTAGCATGCTAATTATATACTATTTTCAAGGACTTAGTAGTGGAATATCTGGAAAATTCTTAATTTGCTAATGGCATGTATACATATCTATTTATCACTGAATAGGCTGATTTATATCTCTATAAACTCCATAGACTCCTAATGTACTTATCATAAATAATAGCCCACGGACATGTAGCTAAAGGAATTCTGTAGACATGGACTGCCCTGACAGCAAATTCTATTAGTTTATTTGCCAGGGAGTCTGTATTATTATATTTATTTATAAAATCCCGCTCTTATTTGCTGTCTTCTAAGTATTCCTCTATGAAGAAAGAGTAAACAGCATATTTTCTGCTGAACTATCTCCTACTGTCATTCACTGACAGATGAAAAACAATATTTTATTGTTTCTTTTCATTTATAGTTTGAATGTTGTGCATATATTCACATTTTTTACAATTTATTTTCATTCTATTTTTACTTCATAAGAAACAATAACAAATATATTGAAATCTGGAAAGTAGCAATTAGCTTAGCAGACTTGAGAAACAGAAATCCTAAGCAGGCCATGAAACAACCTGATTTACACACCCAAATATGGCTCAAGAATGGGAATTTCTACAAGAAAGCAAGATATGGGCTAAAGCTAAAAGAAATGATAGAACATCTACTTAAGAATCAGACACTTGGGGCCAGAGAGAGGACTCAGCAGTTAAGAGCACTTTCACTCAAGTATGAATGAAGGTTTCATGTTGGAAAAAACAAGCTAAACTAAATTAAAACTAAAAACACTAAAAGTTGGAATAACTGATGCTCATGAAAAAGAAAATGGAGGAGGAAATAACTCAACTTGGTTGAAGTTCTGTCTCCTAGATCAATGCTTTAACTGGAGATTTAGCGCAAAGCCACAGATCCAATAGCCCCTATAAGGCTGGCGTGGCCTCCTATCCCAACATGATAGACAGGTAAAAAGCAGAGAGGACATTTAATCAATGCTTTGACAAAAGCAATATGGTTCAGTGACACCAAGTTTATCTTCAGGGTACTGTCCAAACTTTAAGTTTAAACAGAGGATGAATTGGAAGTAAGATGCACAATTAAAACCATTCACTTAATTTCTTACTCTAGTTCAATGACTAGTCTTATGACAACTTGACACTAGCTAGAGTTACCTGAAAGGAGGTTCCAGAACCTCAGTTGAGAAAATGCCTCCATAAGATCCAGCCATAAGGCATTTTCTTAATTAGTAATTGATCAGGAAGGGCCCAACCTATTGTGGGTGGTGACATCCTTGGGCTGGTGGTCTTGGGTTCTATAAGAAAGCAGGCTGAGAGAACTATGAGAAGCAAGTCTCCATGGCCTCTGCATCAGCTCCTGCCTCCAGGATTCTGTCCTGTTTGAGTTTCTGTCCTGACTTTCTTCAGTGATGAACAGTGCTGTGGAAGTGTAAGCCAAATAAACCCTTTATTCCCCCAAGTTGCTTTGGTCGTGGTGTTTTGTCACAGGAATAGAAACCCTAAGACACCTGGTCAAATGGTGGTTCAGTTGATACTTTTCTGTTCTAATTCTGAAGTGTGGATAGTGGTCCAAAAAAGTTATGGCTTGAAGGGACAGATTGATTTTCAGATTACTTCTAACCCAATCACAATTTCACTACCAAGGATGATTATCATATTGGAGTAGTCTGTCCTGAAAGCTTACACTGCACTAGGAATGCAAGGCAACAAGGTTCAGGATAATGACTTGACCTTGCGCCTTCAGGCTTAAAGCACGATGAAGTAGTCTAGATCAGAGGTTCTCAACCTTCCTAGTGCTGCAACCCTTTAATGCAGTTCCTCATGTTGGGGTGACCCCCAACCATACAATTATTTCATTGCTACTTCATAACTGTAATTTTGCTACTACTATGAATCACAATGTAAATATGTTTTTATGATGGTCTTAAGTGACCCCTGTGAAAGGTTTGACTTCCCAAACGGATATGACCCACAGGTTGAGAACTGCTGGTCTAGGTGAAAGACACTACTTGAATGATTAACATGTGTATGCACAGTCAAGCAGGATTCTGAGCCAAAGTGAAGAAAACAGACACAAAATGAAGGCAGCAATGCCAGGTTTTCATACCTGTGGGCCCAAGCAAGGAATCGATGACCAATGCCTCTTAATGAAAGCAGTTTCTAAGAGATTATTACAGAGCTATTTATAATCATCCTTGCTTACTAGTATTTGTGACTGAGGTGATTTGAATAAGAATGGCCCCCATAGGCTCTTAGATTTGAATGCTTGGTCATTAGGTAGCCATACTACTGAACAGGGATTAGGGGATGTGGTCTTGTTGGAATAAGTATGGCCTTGTTGGAGGAAATGTGTCACTGGGGGTGGGCTTTGGAGTTTCAAATACTCAAGCCAGGCCCAGCGTCTCTCTCCGCCTGCTGCTGCAGATAACTCTCGCTCCTCTCCAGCACCATGTCTGCTGCATGCCTCCTTGCTGATAATGGACTAAACCTCTGAAACTGTAAGCCAGCCCCAATTAAATTATTTCCTTTATAAAAGTTGCTGTGGTCATGGTGTCTCTTCACAGCAATAGAATACCAAGATGTGATTCACATTGACCATAAAAATCACATTTCCTAAGTATTCGAAAATGTGATAGCCAAAGGGACTTTTTCACATTATTAAAGAGTGGGAGCCGTGTTCCTGGTCCAAAAGCTATCAAAATAATTAACAATATTAAAGCATTATGACTAAACATGAAGAAAAATGATGATTCATTAAAGCTAAAAGGTGGCATGTCTATTGCAGCTCTATGATCATATTTCCTTACACTGTCAACAGACAAGGGCGGTAACTGGCCCAAGAAATAAAGCAAGGAAGTCCCACATAGCGAAAACATAGATAAAAGATCAACTAAAGGGGCAGGAGAGGTGGCTCAGTGGGTAAAGCATGTATTGTTCTTGCAGAGGACCCAGGTTCAAATCTCAGCAACCACATGGCAGCTTGCAACAGTCTGTAAATACGGTCCAAAGTCCTCATCTGACCAGGCACAGAAGTGGTGTATATACATATATGTAGAGAAAACACTTGCACACATAAACTGATAAATCTTTAAAAAGCATCAAATGAAGAGAGAAACCTTCTGGGCCATCTAAGGACTCCATGACAACCTCACTATCATGCCCTGACAGATACTCGGACTAAGATACTTCCATTCTGGGCAGGTCATTTCAGTCCAAGTCAACCAAGCTGTGTAAGACTGGACTCACAAGCAGCGTTCGAGCATCAATCCTATGCTAAAGAGGGGTTTGCCCGGGAATTCTCCTCCTCCTGTCAGTTCTCTTGCTCCTGAACATCTTTTCTTATTTTTATGTCTCTATAAAATACCTGGCAACATATTTTCCCACAGTTAAGACAGTAGCAACAAAGGACTCATTACTATTAAGTTTAAAAGCCACGTAGGGAAAAGAATGACTAACAAGGGAAAGTAAATACGAAATTCAAAATACAAAAGTTTTTGGACTAAATCGAGCGACGTCAGATTTGCAGGCTTAAACAAATACGCCAAGCAGAGGATGGAAAGGAGATGAATATATAGGTAGAATGGCAGTGCAAGGGTTAATTTCCCACCCAAAGCCGGTGTCTGGATCCTGATATTTTAGGCTACAACCACAGAAAACTGACTAACCCTTACCAACGATCCTCAAGCCTAATTCTGAAAAGGGCATCAAACAGCTCTTCCATCAGAAAATGCCTTAGGCATTTCCATTTCTACTCGGCTCCCTCAGACCGCCAGCAAAGCAGAACTTCTAACTGACCGACATCTCAGTCATCCCTTCAGCGTCCCGCTTTGAGACTTCTCCTCAACGTTCCCTACTCATCCCACGTACGATCCACGCGCCCTTCCATTGGATCTGAACGTCACCGCTACTGGGGATGCTCCTAGGTTAAAGAATGGCCGGATTGATCGACCAGCTCGGTGTCTCCATTGCTTGAACTAGTCCCGTCCGCCTAGCAACAAGACGCGGAGCGCCGAGTGGCTCGATCTTCGTTACCTGGACCCCCCCCCCCCCCCATGAGACCGCTCCAGGCCTGGGAGTGCCGAGCGGCTCGATTCCCCAGGTCTGAGCCCGCCCCCTCCGCCCAGCGCCAGGCTGCTGAGCGCCGAGTCGCTCGATGCGCGGGGGCGCTGCAGCATCACGGAGCGGTGCCGGCTCTGCGCCCTCGGTCTTCCCCCTCCCGCCCTCCTTCCTCAGCTTCCCGTTCCCTCCCCCCGCCCGCCCTGCGCAGCCAGCAGGGATTGCTGCCCGGAGCTCCTCCGGAGCCTCAGGTATCCCGCCCGGCGCGCCTAGGGAGGAAGGAAGCCAGGCGACGCCCCTGCCCGGCGCCCCCAACGTCCGCTGGGGCTGGGAGCTGGCCTGCGCGAGGGCCGGGTCGCGAGTGGGGAAGCCTGGGGCCCGGGGTGCCGTGAGGAAGGGGCGCGAGGACGGGGGTGCGGCTGGGGCGGCCGAGGAGCTTTGGGACCGAGTTGCCGTCCCCGGAAAGAGCTGTTTCGAGGGGGCGCCTGCATCGGGAGTGGGGGGCCTGAGTTCCGAGCAGATGTCGGGGTGCTGGGCCTGGTACGGAGGCGGGAAAGAGAACCGTGGAACCAGCCCGGAGGCTGCCTGGGCTCTTTCCGCAGGGGTCCAGGACAGAACGCAACCCCGCTGCGTTCAGAATGACCCGAGGGTGGAGGTGAACCCTTACACGGAACAGGTTTTGCGAGTCAGATTTCCAGTCTTGAGTCCATTGAAATCAAACGATTTGCGTGGAACTGCCACCAACCAAAGACTGCAGATGAGATGAGAAATGAGGAAGAACCAGACAGGGAATGGAGGCTGAGAAAAGGGAAGCCTGTGCCAGCCAGATTTGAGCATGTTGTGAAATGAAACACACGGGGGGTTTTGTAAAGTAAAAAAGCCAACATAGAATAAACAACAGGTTAGAAGTTTGTTACGTGTAAAACAACAAGAGAACGTACTACAAAAGATACGTATGTCAGATTTAAGCTAGTGAGGAAGTACACGTCAGAGTCCTGCGCTGTTGACACCAGTGAACCCTGACATGGACAGACATCAAGGATGGCTTTTCTACGTAGATGCTTTAACTGACACTATTTTTGGCAGAGGAACTGTAGGCAGAATATAGTCAATTCTAATTTCCGAGCACAGTTTATTTCTGCTACTTTTTCTGCCCTACAAATATTAGTTGCTGGTAGTTTGTCAAGAGTAGCTCATTTATCTGTCTGCTGTTTTGCTAGTGACCTGAGTTTGCTTCCTTCTTCAAATTGATAACTTGGATTTAAGAACTTGAATAAGGGGTTTACACTTTATTAAGGCTTAATGTTATATCTTATAGAAAGGTTATGTAGTTCGTTTGATCACTTCTTTCCCTGTTGGCTAAGATCTGGATTTAATCTGTTCTTATCAGTGAGTTGTTTCTTTGTGCTGTCAAGGTTTAACATAGGAAGTCCAGATACAATTAAAAGTTCATTTTCTTCAATTCTTGCTTTGTCAATTTTTTCAGTGCACTCTGTAATACTCCTGCATGAAATTTGTTCTGAAATTAAGATGTAAGGAATAAATTGGGTTAGATATATCTAACAGAAATAAGGCGGAGTAAAGAACCGTGGGCTGTCACTCAGGCAAGGGTAGTAATTTAATGTTACAAGTGGTTTGAAAACAAATGACAGGAAGCTGACTTTACTGATAGTACTTTGATTTGGGTTTCTCTTAGTGCTTACCATTGATCAATTAAACTAATATCTAAATAATTTAAAGATCTTCAAGGGTTCTTTTGGTAGAAGATGGTAGGTTGTTATAATAAAGTATATCTTTCTAGAACAGAGTTGTGTAACATGATGACAACTAAGTAAATAAATGCTAAAGTGATAATGTATAGTCACCGATCAGTTTGAGTGGAGTGATATAACACTGTTGTTTGTCTTACTACATTTTCTCAACCCTTGCTTGAAAGAAGTATCAAGAATAAAAAAAGAAAATGCATGTAAAACACTGAATTCTAAAAATGTTTCTGTGTTACTGCATATCCATGTGTGTGTTCAGCACATGCTAAACAACTTGGGCTTTTATGAATTTTTAGTCAGCCATCATCTGCTTCACAATACTGAAAAGTTGTATGTGCCTAACTAGTTCTCTAGAAATTTTTGATTATGTTGCATACTCAAACATTTCCTGGAAAAATCACAGTGCATGTTCTGCAGCAAAGAAAACCAGCTTTGTTTAATTGCCTTGTTTTTATATATGAAAAATTCCATTTTCTCTCAGAAAATGTTTGTGAATCCAGGATGTGAGGGAGTTTTCCCTCAGAAACAAACCATTTTGCAGGACATTCTTCAGCAGAGGCCAGCTGAAAGTTCTCTTAGTTTGTTTCTACCACTATCTACAAGGAGATAACCACATATGTCCCCCACTTCAGGTCTGAGCCCCAAGTTGTTAGACCTGTGCTTCTAATTGGCTGTAAATTGAGATGGCCGCAGTCTCTTTGTTGATCTCAATTAATTTGCTAGAGTGGCCCACAGAATTCAGAGAGACACTTTACTTAAGTTTGCCAGCTTATTATGAAGCCTATTAGGAAAGGTGCAGATGAATTATCAGATGGTGTAGATGGGAAGGTATAGGAGAAGGAGCCCAGAACTTTCCTGGCCCCTCCAGGTGTGTACCTTCTAGAAAAGTCCATGTGTTTATGACTCACGTCTATCTGGGGTCCTGACCTCTTGGGTTTTTATGGAAACTTCATTTATGGAAATACTAAATTATAACAGCAGTTGTTGGGGATTACTTCTACCTTCTCTGGTTGGGGTGGTGTGGACTGAATGAGCCCAACCTTGTAATCCTGACTTGGTTTTCTCAGTGAATAGCCTCCATTCTGACACTATTTATAGACTGTCAGACATCTGTCAATCTCATTAGCACAAAAATGCGCATTTATCACTCGTGTATGGGGCTTTTAGGATCTATATGTCAGGAAACAAGAGGAAGACTAGAGAGAATACATACATATACACAAATGTAAATATATATGTATATATGTACTTTGTGAGTTAATAAATATGCACATGTATATCAATATAGAATTGTTATTACCTCAATGTCACACTAATACTTACAAATTAGCCACTCTCATGGAGCACCAGTGGACCATAACTTATGAATGTTTTTGCATGTGTTATCTATCATGTGACCACCTAACTTCTTGCAGAATCCTGGAAATCACTACTTTACAGATGAGGAACCAAATCAATGCTTAAGCAACTGATTCAAAGTGCAGCGACTAGAAGTATGCCACTGTTTTCTGACTCCCAAGTTAAAAGTCAAAGCTTGCTCAGTATTTAGGGACTGTTTCCATTTTCTCCCTTTTTGACATTTTACCCATTTTCACTACATGTTTCCTTAGGAGAATAACATTGGTTTTTATTATGGTTTTAGCTATTTCTTGCAAGCTAAGACTTAGCATATAGACTGTAGTCAGCGGAATGGAGCAAGTCAGGGTAGATAGTTAAAGTGAAGAGACTCTGTCATACAGGGCCTTGTATAGTCTTCGGCACTTTTGCTTCTACCTCAAAGTTTCTCACATGATGAAATGTGTTTTCTCCTTAAGGTGGCAAATTCTTACTCAGTGGGAAATAGAAAGTGCTTGTGAGCAGAAAGCATGCCTCCCAAGTTCAAGAGACACCTAAATGATGATGATGTCACTGGGTCTGTGAAAAGTGAGAGGGTAAGTTTAGAAGCTTAAGCTTTAAAGAAATCCAATGTAAATTGCATCGCTTGTAAATGATAGAAGGACATCTGGAATGTGTGGAACAGAAAAGGGCTGACCCTTTTCCTGTTCACCTTAACGGGTCTTGGCTGATGCCTCATTACAAAAGAAAGGTTAACAAAGGAAAAGTGGAACAGATTTATCTGATAGTGGTTTTATTTTACATGACATTAGAGCCTTTAGATTGAGGACCCAAAAAGGAGGGTGAATTGGCTTGTTTTTATGTTGACATTTAATGAAACACGGGCAACTTTGTAGAATTGTGATTTGGATGGAAGGGTGTGATATAACAGTAGAGAAAAAAGGGGAGGAAGAGAAAACTGTTTCCCTACTTCTTGGCCTCTGTGTTCTTTCTGCTGGATATGGGGCAGAAACCTTTTGGAATGGTGGTCTTAAGACTTATCATCAAACCAGGTAAGTCAGAGAATGTCTTTAGGATCAGTTCCTAGGTAGAAAGATAGAAGATCAGTGTAGTAATTTTAGGTTTATGGCCATTTAAACATTTAAATTAGATGCATATAGTTGAGTGGATGCTGGCAGCTACTACCGTAGTCAGTTTTAGGGCGTATCTATACCCTGAAGGAAGCCCTGTGTTCTTCATCAGTCATCCACACCCCCTTCATTTCCTCAGTCACAGACAGCTAAATCTCTAAAGTCTGACTTGTTCTGAACATTTTATGTAAATGAAATCATATGATATATATCTTGTGAACGGCTCATAATGTTCTCAGAATTGTCAGTTTTGTAGTTCTAGTACTTCATAATCCTTTTTCTCTAAATATTTTTCCATTTTTTATTTTACGTATGTGGGTGTTTTGCTTACATGTATGTCTTTGTACCATGTGTGCAGTGCCTGAGAAGGCCAAAAGAGGGCTTTAGACCTTCTGACCCTGCAGTTACAGATGATTATGAACCATCATGTGGGTACTAGGAATCAAGTGTGGCTCCTTTGGAAGGTCAGAAAGTGTTCTTAACTCCTTCCCCATCCGACCAGCCCCTTTCTGTTCCTTTCTTTCTTTCTTTCTTTTTAATTTTTATTTTTAAATTTAAATTTAAATTAGAAACAAGATTGCCCCTCTCCCTTTCCCTCCCCTCCTCCCGTGCCCTCCCCCCAGTCCCCCCATTATCCCCTCATTTCCCCAGGGAGGGTACCTCCATGGGGGTGTCCATAGTCTGTCATTTCATCCAGGGCAAGGCCTAGACCCTCCCCTGGGAGTCCAGGATGAAAGTGCCTCTCTCATTGTTGGATGGGCACCCAAAATTCATTTGTATACCCGGGATAAATACTGATCTGCTACCCTAGGCCCAATAGATTACCTAGGCCTCCTTACTGACACCCACATTCAGGGGGTCTTGATCAGTCCCATGCTGGATTCCCAGCCATCTGTCTGGGATTCAAGAGCTAACCCTTGTCGGGTCAGCTGTTTCTGAGGGTTAAACCAGCCCAGTCTTAACCCCTTTGCTCATCAGTCCTCCCTCTCTGTCACTGGATTCCTTGAGTTTAGCTCAATGTTTAGCTGTGGGAGTCTGTCTCTGCTTCCATCAGCCATTGAATGAAGGTTCTGTTTCCCAGACCCTGGTCATGGGATTGAAGGCTGGCACTCCCCAGATCTATGTCTAAAATCCATATATGAGAGAATACATGCCATGTTTCTCTTTTTGTGACTGCGTTACCTCACTCAGGATGGTTTCTTCTAGTGCCATCCATTTGCCTGCAAATTTCAGGATTCCATTGTTTTTTTTTTTTTCTGCTGAATAGTACTCCATTGTGTAAATGTACCACATTTTCTCTCCACTCTTCGGTTGAGGGGCATCTAGGCTGCTTCCAGGCTCTGGCTATTACAAATAATGCTGCTATGAACATAGTGGAACAGATGTCCTTGTTTTGTGAATGTGAATCTTTTGGATATATGCCTAAGAGTGGAGTTGCTAGGTCTTGTGGTAGGTTTATTCCCATTTTTCTGAGGAATCTCCATACTGATTTCCAAAGTGGCTGTACGAGTTGGCACTCCCACCAGCAGTGGAGGAGTGTTCCCCTTTCACCACAACCTTTCCAGCATAAATTGTCATTTTTGATTTTAGCCATTCTGACAGGAGTAAGATGGTATCTCAGAGTTCTTTTGATTTGCATTTCCTCAATGGCTACGGATGTTGAGCACTTTCTCAAGTGCCTCTCAGCCATTTTAGACTCCTCTATTGAGAATTCTCTTTAGTTCTGCAGCCCACTTTTTAATTGGATCCTTTGGTGTTCTGGGGACTTGCTTATTGAGTTCTTTGTAAATTTTGGAGATCAACCCTCTGTCAGATGTGTGATTACTGAATACTTTTCCTCATTCTGTCGGCTGCCTTTTTGTCTTGCTGACTGTGTCCTTTGCCTTACAGAAGCTTCTCAGTTTCAGGAGGTCCCATTTATTAATTGTTGACTTCACTGTCTGTGCTGCTGGTGTTATATTCAGGAAGCTGTCTCCTGTACCAATTTGTTCAAGGGTACCATCCACTTTCTCTTCTAAGAGGTTCAGTGTGGCTGGATTTATGTTGAGTTCTTTGATCCATTTGGACTTAAGTTTTGTGCATGGCAATAGACATGGATGGATCGATCCGCATTCTTCTACATGCCAGCATCCAGTTATGCCAGCACCATTTGTTAAAGATGCTTTCTTTTTTCCACTGTATATTTCTTTTATTTCCCCTTTTATTGCTGAGTAATATTCTGTCATTGGGTGTGTCATATTTAGTTATCTATCCATTAGCTGATGGACTTTTTGGGATGCCTGCTATATCACACCCCTTAGTTCAGCTGTTCTGAATACTGCTGAATGAATACTAACATATACATTGTTTGAATGTACATTTTCATTCTTATATTTTAGGTTATGAAGCTACCTTTTAATGGCTGAACCCCGTTTCCATTTTGGAGGGTATCTATCTAGCAGCAGAGTTACTAGGTTTTATAGTAACTACATCCAACCTTTTGGGGTGGTCTCAGACTTGTTTTCCAAAGAGGGTGTACAGCTTTAAATTTCTAGCAGTGGTGTATAAGCACACCCTTATCCCACTCACACTCTGCCTTCTGGGTGAGCATGGTATCTTACTGTATCCTGCTATAAATCTTTATATTGTTTCCCTAACACACATATCTGATCAGCAAGTATTGCTGTGTGTGTTTTTCAGTGGACAACTGAGATGAACTCTCTATGTCTACTTATCTTTAAAGCAAGGTATACCTCACTGGGCTTCTAATTTGATATAATCATTGTTTTGTATATTTCAAACCATGCTATCAGTATATGAACATTGAGCATTGTTAAGTCTTTCTTGTTGTTAAGTCTTCTTGGTAGATGGGTGCTTTTTATGATTGTCACACAAAAAGTTTTATTTGGTTATTTATTGTGGTGCTTTAAGGTTTGTCTTTAAACTACTAATATTCTTAAGTTTACCAGTATGTCTTTTCTCCACACCCCACTTTTTCTATATTTGGTGGTGTTTTTTTTTTAGGTGAATCTCTTGAAAACAAATAAATACTCCCTGGAGTTTGTGAACCTCCAGTCATACATGATTTTGTTTTTAGTAGGGTCACTCACTTGTTATGATAAGTAATACTGTTGGAATTTTTCTGTGCTCTCCATTTTCCTGTGGGCAGTGAGTGCTCTGTCTCTAATATTTGTCTGGGTCTTTGTTATCATTTGAACTTATACTTAAATTTCATCTCTTCAGAATGATTTTCTATGACAGCCTAAGTCTCATGAAGTCACCATGTCACTTTCTGCCCCATCATTGTTTGAATATTCTACATGACATTTTTCTTAGGATCACTTTTTTCTTTGAGAGCTGAGACCATGTCACAGCTCATGTTTGGTGTTTACTTTAATACCTAGCACATATGAAATACTCAGTATTAACAAGTATTTGTTAATGAACAGTATTTCGTTTTTACTCTGTAGTATATGTTATATATTAGTTATTTTACACGAATAAATGACTGTCATACATACATGCCTTTCTTTTATTTCCCCTCACACTTTTGCCAGATTGATCATTTTTCCTCATCTCTTACCTTGCCCTGGGACCCTGAGGCACTCTGGTGAATTTATTCCCTTCTTCTTCCCTCTGTTTTTAAATATTAATTAAATATTTTAGGAATGATATTTAAATCTCTGTTGTCAACACACCAAAAATTATTCACCTTCACTAGTTTACTTTTTTCTTCCCTTTCCTGCTTTCACTCCTCACCAAGATGAGCACATTAATATACTTTTACTTCCTCACTTCATGCTCCCACGCTCAGTCTCTCTTAGAGACTCTTTTTATGTTATGCTTCTTATTAACTTACTGTTCACACTGATATTATCATCCTCTGTGTGTGTGTCTGTGTCTGTGTGTGTTTATGGATCTTTCCCTCAGTTACTCTACACCTGGTTTTTGAGACATGGTCTCTCACTGACCCTGGTACTTGCTGACTGGGTAGGCTCCTCCTGTTTCATACCCCAGTGTTGGGTCCAGTGCATAATGCCACACCTGGCTTTTTCACATGGATGCTGAGAACCCACCTCAGGTCCTGTGCTTATGAAGTAACTCACCTACCGAGCCATCTCCCCAGCCCCCATCATATTCAAATTTGGCTGTACATTTGATTAGATTCTTTGATCATGTCTATCTGTATCCTAAGACTTTGTTCTAATTTGATTCTCTTTTTGGCTGGTCTAATTCCTCAAGCAGTGTCCTCAGAAAAATTCATCGGTGATCCGTTTCCCCTTTCTGTAGAAATGAATTACCGCAGAGTTAAAGCACCACAGCTCTGCTGTTTCCTATTTTCTTAGGGAGAAATTGCTTTTTGCTCTTCCAGGCTGCTAGAAGCTACCTGCCTTTCCTGGTTCATTCCCTTCCTCTGCCTTCACCTCCCTCTTTTCTTTTGAAAAACTGTTGTCCTTAGTTGGGACTCAACTGAATAATCAGTAAGGACCTTCATACTCCTTACTGACATTGCCAACCAAGTCTCTTTCACCTCAGAAGTTGACAAGAGTATGGGTTTGATTACTGGGACATGGACATCTTTGGGACACCATTACTCTGCCTACAAAATATGATATATTATTTGTGTCTAAAGGTCTGGATTTTACATGACTTTAACCTTTTAGGACCTCATGTTCTCCTTTTAGGGAGAATGTAGCACCGTCTTCATTTCAAGGAAGACTTTGTGTTTGGAAATGTGAAACTGTAGTTAGGTTTGTTGGAAATTAGCATGTGTATTGGGCTATTTCTGGACTAGGTGTCTAGGAGAGCCTTTGCTCAGCTCTAATGTCACCCCCCTTACTCCTTCTGGGGTAGCCATTGAACTCCCCAGTTGAGGGCTGCCAGTAGAGAGCATGGAGGGAAGGGAGTGACTGCCACGCCAGTGACAGGACTCTGGAACAGGACTCTGAAACTGAATGCATTTTCCCTGGAAGGTCAGCAGACAGTCCCAGATATTCTAGCTGCCCAGGAGGAAGCTTGTTTAAAAATATCAGCAGCCTAGAACTTGTTTCTTTTCTCTTCCCTGACATTTTGTAATTCCTCTGCATCAGAAAACTCAAGTCTTTTTCATTTTCTTGACAGAGAAATCTTTTGGAAGATGATTCAGATGAAGAAGAGGACTTTTTTCTGTAAGTTAATATTTTTTCAATTGTAATTAGCATACAAGAAAGTGCACATAGTTAAAATGTTCATTGTGGGTTTTGACGTATACTAAAATAAATCTCTATAATATCATCTAAATAAAGAAGGAACTCAACTCTGTCCCTATAACTTTCTTTGAACTTATTTGTAAGCTGTTGCTCTCCCTGGCTATAGGTTTCCACAGATCTGCTTTCTGTCACTGTGCTTTCTATTTCTTAGAGTTTTATATAAGCGAAGCCATATGGCATGGCCCCCATCTTTTTTATTTTTATACTGACTTCATTTGCTTAACCTGCTTATTTTGAAATTCATCTGAGAATCAGTAGGTTGTTTGTTTTTCTGAGTGGTTTTCCATTGTGTGAATATACTGCAATCCATTTATCCATTCCCGCGTGTGTGGATATTTAGTGGTTTCTCATTTTTTACTGAAACAGAACTGTTGTGAATGCTTGTGTGCAGATGTTTGTGAGAACACGTGCCTTCATTTCTCTTGGGTAATCCCTAGGTGTAAAGGCTGATGCCCACTGATGTCTCTCTTCTCAAGTGGCCATCCATGCCTAAAGCTTTTGTTGAACTGAAATCTAGTTTTTATCTTCCCTAGGTCCCATCCTTCCAACAGGGTCTCACTCTGTATCCCAGGCTAGCCTCAGACTCCACCATCGCCTTGCCTTTGTTTCCTAAATGCTGGGATTGGAGATGTGTGCCACTGTGTATCTGTTCGTCTGTCTGTCACTCTTTCTTATTCTTTCCCTACCTTTCTGTCTCCCTCTCCTTCATTTTATCCCATATTTCTTATGTCATAAGTACTATACTGAAGAAATAATGTCACTATATAGTAGATTGTATGTTGCCTTTTGGGGTTTTTTGTTTGTTTGTTTGGTTTTGTTGTTGTTTTGGGGTTTTTTGGTTTTGTCTGTGTAACCCTGGCTATCCTAGAACTCACTTCTTTACAGGCTGGCCTCAAATTCACATAGATCCACCTGCCTCTGCCTCTGAGTGCTAGTATTAAAGGCGTGAGCCACAACACCCAGCTTTTGGAATGTTTTAATCCTAATGATTTTTAGGTAACTATCTCATCTGTGGCATGCTTATTTAATCACTGCTTTTTCATGCTTGTCTCTGAACTCATTCATAGTTATCTGGTCCAGAATATGAAACAGAGTACTTTGACTTGTCATTTGGGATAAATGCTGGTCCAGAACTGCAGTACTTAGTTGGAACTCTGAAGACTGAGAGGGAAAAGCTTATAGAAGCTAAGGCAGGCTGATATTGTCACACTTACAAATGATACTGTTTTAATCAACGGTTTAATTTTTTTCCTCTAAGCGTGTTTTCTTATAAATGTGTTTTCCCCTTTGTTTAGAAAGTTCCATGTCTAAAAATTAAGGTATTTAAAAATATACTTCAAATTTTTAATGTTTTGAATAAATTCAATGTAAGTTGTGGTTTTTAGTTCTAGAATTGACCACAAAGGTATTCATAGTCAGTGACAGTTGAGTTGATATGACATTTCAGAGTTTAATGTGTATAGAGGATAGTATCACTAAAGGTTAGGATTATGTACTCTACTTTCTCAGGAAGTTTTATCACTCAGAAGAATTAGATTATGGCCAACAGTATATACTGTGAAGTAGATACATGATTATGTAGCATCCATTTCTGTCAGCTCCTATACAATGCAGCTCCATATGATTAATGATGATCCATATTTAGAATCCAGCTTGATTGCACAGAGAGGCATGTTTCTTGTTTTGATATTTATCTGATATTGTCATTGCTGACATATACTGGGTATTTTATTTTCAGACGGGGACCATCTGGACCAAGATTTGGGCCTAGAAATGATAAAATTAAGCAGTAAGTTCCTAGATACTCATTCATTTAATTGATTGTCATAGTTCTCTGTGGACCAGGGCTATCAGACTACAGCCTGTGAGCCAGATCTGGCTGTTGGTTTTTTAATAAACAAACTCGTTGGGTTTTTATTTTTTATTAGAATGCAGGCTACATTTGTTTCCATATTATCTGTAGCTGGTTTTGAGCAACAATAGCAATGTTGAGTAGTGTGACACAGAGATCATATAGTCAGATGTTTCATTGTCAAGGCTTATATATAAAGTAATTTGGGATAGGTTCTTATCTGTGGTTAGAGTATCACTGGAATACTAGACACTCAAGCATTTCTGTGTTTTTAACTTTGGAGGTAACTCCTAAGTGACAGTAGGTAGTTGAGGACCATTTGACTAATTCTTAAGTTTGTTTCAGTTTTCACTGAATAGCTGAAGTTTGATTAGAAAAGGCACTGAGCATTCTGTCCCTGCTTGATTTGCTTATGAGATACATTCAATATAGAATCAAGACTAAAAATATGCTTTCAGTTAAATATTACTTTAGTGTATAGCCTTTATCCTTAACTACCCAAGTACTCAGGCCAACAAATGGAAAAACATTGCCTAATTTTATAGTTGAATGGCAAACCACAGTTCTCTGAGAATTTGTTATCTAGTAAAAGTTCTAAAAGTGTGGATATTTCTAAAAGAAGAATAAATTTTATCTCTTTTCAAACTAGTGTTCAGAATCAGGTGGATGAAGTTATTGATGTAATGCAAGAAAATATTACAAAGGTAATTGAAAGAGGAGAGAGACTAGATGAACTGCAGGACAAATCAGGTACAACCACTTCCCATTTTGTGTATTTCTTGATATTATGAATATGTGTGTAGCTAATACATACCTTCCATTTGTCTCACTGATGTTTAGGAATCGTGGGCTAGGAAGTTAACATTCAATTCTTAAGAATGGCTTAGTTTCTGGCCATTCATTTGAATGGTCTTACTGTTATGTTCATACTCTTTGTGTTTTTTATGATATCAAGATGTTAAAATCTAATATTAGGTACTCCTTTCAAACTTACCTAATATTTTTAATGTCTTCTCTGGTAGTTGTATGAATCTGTCTTCACTGACAGGTGTTAGTCTCTGTGTCTATAATGATTCCTAGCACATACCTGAACCTCAAATATTGTTTGAATGATGACTTAGGCTTTCCCTGGAAACTTAGCAACTTTTGTTTACAGACTGTTAGCCTTTGAGCCTGTAATGGTTTTTGGCACATATTAGCCATTCATGCTTTATGAATGGTGAGTGGCTGCATGCCAGATTCATTCTTGGTAGACTTGCCTGACCAGAAACTTGCTTGATTGCTTATTCTATCTTTTTTTTTCTAAAAATTGAATTTTCTCTGTGTGCAATTTTTCTTAGAGTTGTGCCAAAGTATTTTTGTTTCTAGTGCTGGGATCTAATGTGTACTAATAGGCATCAGCCCATGAGCAACAACCCCCCGCCGCTGCTATTGTAAAAACTTATTACAGTAATTTGTGTGCGTGTGCACGTGGTGGAACACACAATGATGAACATGGGGAGACTGGGGTCTTGGCTCTCTCCTTCCATGCTGTGGGTCCCTGTGTATCAAACTCAGGTCATCAACCTGAGTGTCTGTCTTGCATTCCCCTACTATTCTTACGTTTAAACCCTATTTTCTTACCAGAATTAAGAAGTTTGTGTATGTAAGCATTGAGGCTATAGGAAGGGTTCTTGAAATCTTGAGTGGGGGATGGGGGTGGGATTAGTTGAACAAAGTGACCTTCCATTGTGTTTTGCTTTTTTTTTTTCAATGTAGACTAACAGAATTGTGGGGGGGGGGATTTTAAGAAGGAGAAATTGATGTTTTTTTTTTTAATATTTGTGTGATTAGATAAAAGAATCCTGTTGTGTCATTTAATCCTTTTCTCTACCCTTTGTGTGACATAGAAAGCTTATCGGATAATGCAACCGCTTTCAGCAACAGATCCAAACAACTCCGAAGGCAAATGTGGTGGCGTGGGTGCAAAGTAAGTAAACGAGACGGTGGAGGGGAGAGGAAGGTGTGAGGACAAGGGACGGACAGTCTGTGAGCTCTGTGAGGACAAACGCTGTGATTGCCTTGCTTATTGAGAAATTTCCTCAACCTGGAACAAGAAGAGTTACTAAAGGAACCAAGCAGTGTCAGAAAGGATGCCTCGTGTTTCTCTCCATGATAGGACTCCTCGAGACTAGAGAGAAGTATGATTTTTCCCCTAGGGGAAAAAACAGAATCAGTTTGTATGACAGAAACTTTAACAAAAAGATTAGGGAAAAAGTCTCATTTATTCCTTCATTATTTCAGTGAAATAAAAAAAATTTAATAAGGACAAATGGAATTACTGTACACTATATCCTGAAGAAATAAATTTCCCTCTTAAATCAAGTATAGCAAATATCATGTGATGAGAGCAAATCTTTCTTTTTTTCTTCAAGTCTAGGTATGTTTTGCCAAGATCCTTAAACATAGGTGGCTCATTGGAGTTTTTTGTTTTTGGGGTTTTGTTTTTTGTTTGTTTAGTTTTGGTTTTTGGTTTTTGAGACAGGGTCTCTCTGTATAATATTCCTGGATGTTCTGGAACTGCTTTGTAGACCAAGCTGGCCTCAAACTCACTGGGATCACCTGCCTCTGCCTCCCAGGTGCTGGGATTAATGGCATGTGCCACCACCGCCTGGCGGGCTCATTGTTTTTAAACCCTCACTTTAGGGTTCAGTGATAATCTTTTAAACCTGAATTTGCCATATTTTCTTCAGAGAACAAACTTTGTACTTTCTATCATTTCTTCTTTGCCTCCTCTTCCTCTAATGTTTTTAAAGAGTTAAAAATACCCAGTACTGTGGTTTTCAACAGACTCAGACCCAGATAACCCTGCAGACCACTATAGCATCGAGCACACAATGAGCCGCATTGTCTATGGCCTAATGAAGACGAGTTAAGGTAGCAAGTACTTTCCACTTCGTTTTCTAAGGCTTATATTTCTTCTCTCTCATCATACACTACTAGTGCCACATTGTGCTCCTGTTTATCTGGGACGGTCCCATGCCTCCCACTTTCTGGATTGACTTTCATGGTAGTGATGTAGGAAGGCTGTTATGGAGAAGATGGAAATTAAAGACATCAGAGTTTGCCAGTGGCTGAAAAGGTTGTAGGGTGCTAATAGGTTACAATTGATTATGAGGGATCTTGGGGCCTGGGATGGGTATGATGGCTTTAGATACTTCTTGCCCCAAATTGGAAACCAAGGAAGAAAACTCTATTCAGTATGGTGTTTTTAATTTTTTGTTGGTATTTCCATATAAATTTTGTTAAGCCTAGTTAACTTTATATTAATAGGACAAATTAATAGGTGTTTTGGGAAAGGTAGGAATGCTACTATTAAATTCCATATAGTTTAAAAAATATTCTCAGGTTAAATAAAGGATTAAAGTTCTTTTAGTATGATATAAGCCCAGGTTCAAGATTATGTTTAAATTTTTAAGTTATCATAATTACAGACATAGGCTTTTATATCACATTGCAAAGCTCTTTATATATATCTTGGGTCACTTTGTTGGTGTCATAGCTGTAATGTCATTCTATTTTTAAAATATTTCATGCTATTTCTATTTATGATTGTCATTAGAATGAAACATCTCTTTTATAATATTGAAAATACTGATTTTTTAACTTTTGATAACCTTATTATAAAAATTTTGGAAGTAAAAAGTCACACATTGAAATTACCCAGTATATCTCAGTGACGTCCATATAGTTACCCAGTATCTCTCAGTGACTGTCCATGTAATTACACAGTTAGAACAGCCCTTCTGAAGCTGTGGAGCCTCACACTGGACTTCACACTTTATCTAATATTTTTATTTGTCTACTACCAATATTGATCTTTTGAGTACCCCCTCCCTTAAAAATAGATTGATAGCCTTGAACTCACAGAGATCCGCTTGCCTCTGCCTCCTAAATGTTGAGATTAAAGTCATAAGGGGGTTTTGTTTGGTTCGTTTTGGTTTTGGTTTTGGTTTTTTGAGACAGGGTTTCTCTGTATTGTTTTGTAGGATGTCCTGGAACTCTCTCTGTAGACCAGGCTGGCCTCTAACTCACAGAGATCCGCCTGCCCCTGCCTCCCAGTGCTGAGATTAAAGGCATGTGCCACCAATACCTGGTTAAAGTCATAAGTTTTTAATTATATAAAAATGTTTGATGAAAGCAAGGTTTTTGATTCATCACAGAAATGAAATTAGTTTCTATAATGTATGCATTTAAGAAAAAATGATTGTGACAATTTTATATAGAAAGATAACATGAACTTAAAATGTCAAGCAGCTGACTGAGAAATGATTTTTTTAAAAGATTTGTTGATTATGTGTAGTGTTCTATCTGCATATATGCCTGCAGGTCAGAAGAAGACACCAGATCTCCTTACAGATGATTGAGAGCCACCATGTGGTTACTAGGAATTGAACTCAGGGCCACTGGAAGAGTAGCCAGTGCTCTTAACCTCTGATCCATCTCCCCAGCCCCCCTGAAAAATGATCTTAAAGCTTTTCTTTCTATTTTAAAACTGACACAATACTCTTAGGTTACTTAAGTGTTGTTATTCATAAAGAATCTAAAGTATAGATGGAGATTAAAACATCATGAAGGGGTAAAATTACTGTGAAGAAAATATGGTAAGAAAACTATTCTTATGTACTTGGAGAAAACTGCTGTGAAGCCTGCTGCCATGTAGATATCTGTCCCCTATCCATGTTTTGCTTTTCATGTTGTTGCTTATCTACAGTGAGCTGTGGTTAGAGAAACCTAAGTTTATCTTGGCTCTTGGAAGAGAAAAACCAAATTCATTTTACCTTATTATACATGTGTTCCATTTTATTGTTGGTTATTAGTTTACTCTGTTTACTTTATCAATGTATTATATAGATATGCCTTTAGGGGAAAACCACACATAGAGGATTTGGTATGATCCATGGTTTAAGGCATTCATGGAGCAAGGCCACATAACTCCCCACATAAGACAGGACCATTGTATGTAAAATACGTGGCCTGTGTTTTTATCCAGTCCTGATCATAATTGCTAAAAGTACAGTTTTTGTGTGTCATGTTAGGAGTAGGCGCAGCTCTGAGAAGGCTTCGATTGTGGCTGCTACTGTGCAGTACAGCTTTAGATGGTAACATCCACCAAAGCAAAGCCGTGCATTTGGGGGCACTTTGATTATTTACACAAGAATGCAAAACAGCCGTCAAGTTCTTTCGGGAAGCATCAAATTGGAAATGGCCCAGAGTATGCCTGTTTATTGATGAGGTACTATAGCACAGTAAATAGTTGGTAGACCAGAGAGTCTTGTTTTTATTAACAAGTCAAATCTTCCATTTGTCTTTTTGTGTATTATAGATAAAAGCCATCATGGCTTTGGCTGCAGCTATCCTTTTGCTAATGATTATCAGTAAGTATTTATTGGATCATTGTTCGTTGGGATATTTTGTTTTGTAAGGCATAGGGTTTGATATGGTCTTGATTTTTTTTTTTCAGAGACATAGTCTCACTATGTAGCCTAGGCTGTCCCAAATGCCACTGTGTAGCCCAGACTGGCCTCTGGCTAGGGTTTTAATTTTAAAATCATTTAAATTCCTTTTCATTTAAGTTGACCTGGTGTATGTAATGTGAGCATTGGATAATGACATATGCCTTAAATAAGGAGGGAACCTTTACCTAGAATCTCTCAGTCTGTGAAAACTGCTTTAAATGTCTAAAGTTCTATGTGAATTTGCATGTATAAAATTTCTGTGGGGAGTCTATATTCTCAAAGGGTACTCCCTCTCCTGCTCCTCAGCCACACCCCAGTCACAGCACAGGACCCAGCTATCTGTTTAAGGCTAAAGCTGGTATCTGTTATATTTAGGACCAAAATACAATTTTCTGTTTACTGCTGTGTTCAGGATACAAACCCAGTTTATTTCTCCAGATGATTTTTTTTTTCAAAGTCAGGTCATTTTTTAAGTACCTTTCTTCGAGATTCCTTTACTTATATTTACAGAGTTTTTTGAAGAACTAGAAATTTGAAAAATTTTTAAGGATATTTTTTAAACTTAAAAAGTGTTACAAAAATCTATAATCCAATCTCATTACCTGGGTTGTTGTTTGAATTTGTTTACTAGTTGAAGTGTATTTGTAACCCCCCATATTAATCATGTTACTTCCATGGTCATTCAGAACGAGAAGAATTTTGACTCCCTTGACCCAATCATAGGTCTCCAGCCGGGCCTTCTTAGTTCAGCTTTCATTGAATAATCAAGTGTTCTTTTCATAGACTGCTTGGTCCACATTTTTGCTGACTTCACGGATAATCTAAAAATGCTGTCCCTTTTACTAAAGCTGTGATAACCCTTCCCAGAAAATATGTATGTGGGCTTATTCCAGGATGAGCTACAATGCTGCTAACCTTGACTTCGTTATAATCTTTAATTAATGGTATCTGTTAAACAATATGTCTTTCAACGAGACACACATAAAACAAGATTATGTGTTGATTTATTGACTTAAGTGTAGTAGCCAGACATTCATGGGAACTTAAGTCTATATTTTCCCTAGGATTAGTGGCTCAGGAGTTATCAATATTCATGATAACTTTGTAGAATATAGTTATCTCAGATAATAAGAACCTACCATAAATGGTGGGCACCATGCCAATAAAAAGGGCTATAAAATTCAACTTGGCTCTCACTATATTACTATAGCTGCTGTCAGTGTAACATTGTATATGCTTTTAGTCTTTTCCTATTGGTATGTTAGCATGACTTTCAAAAACGAAGATCATATCAGATATTTTCCAATAAATATTTTATTCATTATTTTCCAACATCATTAAATATTGTAATAATATTTTAGAAGCTACAGGCTACTGTTTTGCCATGGTTTATTTGCTCAAGAGGCCAGTGTTAGACACGGTTTTATGATGTTTCTGTATTTCCTCTTATTTCATAGCTGTTATTTCAGATCAGGGTTTGGCCTGAGTTTCTCCTCTCTAACGATGGCCGTCACTTAGGGATTGTGCTTCTGACCTAGCTGTGATCCGGTTATGATTTTGATGCATTCTTTTCTTTTTCTTTTTTGTTTTACTTTTTTCTCTTACAGTTCTTATAGTTGTGAAAAACCGTACTTGATTTGGTGACAGAGATCCTCATTAAACAAGATCTGGGACAATAATAATTAAAGATTGCTGCATAATTTAAATGAAACCTATGTATATAACTTTCAAATTTTCTTTATCAAGAGACTAAAAGGCAAGTACCACTTCAAATTGGAGCATTGAGAATATCCAATTATCTTCTTCCCAACTAGCAAAAATGTGTTTTGAATAATTTTAAGGCAAAGATAACTCTATTTTGCTTTATTCCAAGGATCTAATTTGAAACTAGATACTTGCCAGTTTGTTATATGTATATATAGTTAAACACTGGTGACAATATTCATACTTGTATTTTAGTGTCATTAAAAACATTTATTATTACATTAACATAAGGGTCAAGCTGATGGTCAGGAAGCCTGTGTAGATTCCTGACTCTTTTGCTGAAAGAGATTCATAACCATCCCATCAGTATTTGCAAAAATGTCATTTTTTCATATTGCAGTTGCTTTGCAGGCAATTTCTACATTTATGGATTAACAAAAGCTAAGTGTTGTGAATGTTTCTGCCTTCAGCTCTACCTGAAAACATTCCAGTAAACCTATTCTGACTGTATAAGGGAATACATGGTAATTTTTTTGGTATTTGCATTTTGAAAATGGGAAACTTAAACAATGTGAAATGCATAATATGGTACCATAAAACTGGAGATAATAAAAATATTGGAGAATGTCATTGGAGTGTTTGAAAATGAGCAATATATAGCGCCCAGTCTTGGTCCAGTCTATTGTCAGTTAGGCTACAATAAAAAGGGACTAATTCTGAAATAAGTGCAATCTGCAGGTAACTTTTTCCTTGGTCTAATTTATTAATAGTTTTCCCTTTTTAATTTTAACAAACCCTGTGCTGGAAGAGCTGAAATTAGCATAGTCTCCTGCTTTGACTGTCTCGTTTCTCTGACACTCTCGGTGTGTTCTTTTGGGGACATAGATGTTGCACAGTCAAGTGTCCAAACAGCAAGTGTCAGTGAGTAGCAAACTGTCAGTAACAGATGCTCAGGGTCATAACAAGGTGTGTTCATTGTAAAGAGTGCCAGCCCCTTCATGTTGTTTAAACAAGTCAACCTGAAAATGCTTCCTGATGTGTAGAGGAAAGGGCATGATAATCAAATTGGAGACTGCAGGAACTTCTTCACATGGACATCTTAACCTAGAAATAAAGTTCGCAGGGATTGTCAATATGTGAGGGGGGACAGTGGTCCTGTATGACAGATACTACTTCTGTGATCATTTTAATTAAGAATGTATAAAAGAATTTGGATTTTTCTTTGTTTAATTCTGTAGTAGTTAATACTAGCAGAAAAGAATGTTTAGAATGGAAAGAAATTTGAAAGATGGAAGTCAGATGAAGTGATGCCCTAGACACTTGCAGGGTCTATATATAACTTCTGACTTTATAGTACTTGCATATTATGGAAAGTTGACTCTGGCCTCTTCATTCTGTTAGTCAGTTCATATGCACAGCATCTAAACTGATGGTAAATCCTTTTGAAAATGATGGGTCGAGTAGTGTTCTCAGTCCCAGAAGCAGGTAGTTGAGGGGTGGGATGTTTTACTTGCATCAGCCAAACTGGTCCCAGTGTCTTGTGTTTAGAGTATAACTAGACTCCTACTCATTAGCTTTCCATTGATTAGTATAGAAGTCTAGTTTCACTCACTATCAGTGCTTTTTGCCACTTTTAAGGAAACAGTTATTTTAAAAATTAGAATTATTAAATTATTTTTTAAACATAAAGTATAAAAATTTTAGATTACATAACTGCTTCTATATATAGTTGTTTGTATTTAAATTTATTGCTACTGAAGAAACCCTGTTGGCATGTGACTGAGAATTTTGTAGCAGTGATGACTTCACTCCGTTTATTTATTATTTTATCTTTTTTGATTTATATTATCCTGAAACCTTAAAATGACTGGCATGTTTATGACATTATGTGAAATATTGGAAATATGGGCTGGGCGTTCCTAGAATAAGAAGCTGAGGAGAGCCAAGGGTAATGGCTCACACCCATAAGTTCTACTCTTTGAACACTAAAACAGGAGGGTTGCCTTGATTTTGAGCCATCCTGGGCTTCATGGTATGTTCTGGACCAGCCTGGGTGATGGAGTAAGATGCTATCTCAAAAAACCAAACCAAACCAAAACAACAAAAAACCAAACAAGCAAAAAACCAGAAGGGAAATAGTTGTTCAAATTGATGCCAGGCCTGCCTTCATTCCCTCCTTAATCATTCTTTTTCTCATCCAGCTCAGATCATCCTGCACTTGAAAAAATGAAGTTTTACCACCATCAAAACTATCATTATTTAACAACAATGAAGATCAACAGACAAATCCAAGTAGCTTTGCTAATGTTAGTTGATGCCCAGTGAAATCAGGTCACTACTCCTGTGCCTGAAGTGCGCCCGCCCTTGTGATTTGTCCATAACAGAAGCCTCTTCCCTTGCAGCAGTTTGTGATGAACGGGTCCTTCCTCCTGGTCACAACTCAGTGGCACCTGTGGCCTTTGGTTCCTTTGTCCTAACAAAACCCATTGGAAATTGTCCCAAAATGTTATAAATTGGGAAATTTACAGATTCAAAGAAGGCCCAGTATTGATGACAGAACATTGTTTAAAATGGAGAAAGAGTAATACATGTCAGGTACAGGGGATCCTATGACTGTCACTACAATTCATTCCAGGACTCTCTGTTAGAAAGTACTGTTGGCCTTTTAATAGCAGAATCGACGTGTTCTGGGTAGCATGCGGGTACCTTGTAGATACACACATACACAGGGTGAGGATCAGACATGGAAAGAGCTTGATATCTCACCTTGCCACTTCCACATGTTCTGTGTCCTTGTCAGCACAGTAGCCCAGACAGACTTGTATTCACGTCTTGTATATGCTTTATGATTAGAGAATCTGCAAGAAGTCTTCTCAGTGTTGAACATAAATGTCATTAGTCGTATTGAGTCAGAGTGTTACTAAGTTAAGAACTATACTATCAATCAAATTTTTTGTTTTCACATAAAAATGTTATTAGAGTCAGTTTCACTTTTCTGTGAATGGCACTAAGAACACAAGTCAATCTAAACACGTTTTGGGAAGGCAGTTGCAATAGAACAATGTAAAGACAATGGGTTAGAAGGAGCAACAAAGGGCCATCTTAGTCCATACATGCCACCCTCCCTTAGACTGATGGAATCTGAGCCTGTTTTATGTGTCTTATTTTTGGGACTATGTGACCCAAGCTGGCCTCAAACTCACAGAGAGCCACCGGCCTCTGCCTCTTAAGTGCTGGGATTAAAGGTATGTGCCACCATGCCCCGCAGGCTTTTTCTTTTTGATCAAAGAAAGAATTCTTGGGCTCAAGTGATCTTTCCAACTTAGCCTCAAAAGTAGCTGAAACTACACGGCACCACCATATGCAGATAGGTCTTCTCTTTAATCTGGTGTTAGTCTTACTCGGATACTTACTTTCATGTCAAGTAGAATAAGGAATGGGTGCACACTTATTCTGGCTCTTGTTTTATTTTACAAAGTAAGTACAGATGAAAAGAAAACATTGCTAATCCAGTTGGGATAAGTGTAAGCTTGTGAAGCAAGGACCATGTCCTGTTGTTTCTCTCAGCATTGCATACCCTGGCAGATGCTGGACAAAGGGAGGAGGGCAGACTAGGGTGGGGCTGTGCTCCAGAAGTCACACCGTTCTGGTGAGAGCTGATTTCCAGTGTGTACTGACAGGTGACATGAGTGTTGTAGGTGATTACCTAGAGATAAACATGTTTTTGTTATAATTGAGTATAGAAAAATTCTGGTTTTACGGTGTTGAATTAGCTTCTTTTCACTGGAAAAGATTTTGAAATAAAATCATATTAAAGCTGTAAATTGCATATGTCTGAGGATTTAGTAAAATATTAGTGATAAGAAAATTCAAGCATTGTTGTTATGTCTTAGTTATATGTCATTATTTTACATCCCAAAATCCCTGATTTAAATTTTGGCAAGTGCCTTTGGCATTTAAGGGGTATGATGGGAAATGAGCAAATTAGATGCCATGCTCCTTTTCCTGGCTTCTCAATTCCTCATGACCATTTATGTTTTACAGTGCTACAAAGTTCAGTCCTTTGTTTTCGTATGAAATGTATTTGTAGCTTCTCCATAGTAAACAGCAAAATAAACCATTTTGTAGAAAATGAAAAGTAAGTATTTTGGCTTGTTCAGTGTGTATAGCCTATTGACTTAACTTTAAAAGCAGAACACCTGTACAAGCACCTTAGTTTCATTGGTCCCTTTTTCTACTAAAATACATGGAGTAAAAGTAAAACCTATCGAGAAAGAATTTCTCAATGTACAACACCAAGTGTCAACAGCAGGGAAGTTATTGGGGCAATTATGCTTACTCTCACTGGTGTCCATTTCAAAGAGAGGAAAGAGGATGAAATCCACTTAATAATTCAGTCCCAATCAGAACTGGGCATGGTGTTATATGTCTACGATCCCAGCACTCAGGAAGTGGAAACGTGATCAGGGAGTAGTTCAAGGCCAGAGACAATGCATAGTTTGAGGTCAGCTTGGGCTACAAAAGCCTATCTTTATAAAATAAAATAAAATAAATAGTCCTAATCAGAACACCTGGCAGCTGTTTCTCAGCAGTGTGGCTCTGTCTTTTATAAGAAGCCTGAGTAGTGATCATGTCTCCAGCCTCCCTCTAGACCCTAAATGTCGTCTCTGTGGTACTCGGGGTTATGAAGTACTGTGGACAGGGATGGAGACAGCAAACACCTTAAGTATATTCTAAGAATGACGCTTACTGAGTATAATCTAATATTTCACCTTATGAGAGAACCAGTCCAGCAGGCCAGACCTTCCCTGAGTCCAACAGGCACACTTAGACACAGCATGCCCTTTAGATGCTAAGCACTGCTGTGAAGCAGTCACTCTACTTCTGTGCTATAGGTACACAAAGATATGTGGTGCACTTGGGTTGTGTGAGAGGCCACATTTCATCAGAGCATGTGTGTAAAGAGATGCACATGCAGCCTATGAGAAAAACTAAACTCAGGAAGGAGAATACTCCATTGATCCTTGCAACATAAAAACTTGCTGTTTTCTCCATTTAAAAACTGGGGCCGGAGAGTTTGTACATTGAGTAAGAGTGCTTGCCCTGCAAGCATGAAGACCTGAATTCAAATCCCCAGTACCAAAGGGGTCGGGGGAACAGGCATGGCTGCATGTATCTGTAATTCCTGCATTGGGGAGCAGAGAGGCACATGGGTTCCAAGAGCTCACTATCCAACCACTCTAGGCAAAAGGGTCATCTTCCAATTTATTGACTCTGTCTGAAAATAGTAAGGTAGAGAACCAGAGAGAGACACCTGAGGTCTTGCTTAGTATACAGATGCAACCGTATACTGACATGCTGGTACCACACAAATACATAACCCCCATCATCTTTTTAGCCCACTTGCCCTGTCACCTTCTACCCATATCTTTGATCTGTGTTGAGGTTTTTTTCATTCTCTTAAACTACTTCTGTTAAGTTTTGCAGACATACCTCACCCAATTTTACTCTCAGGAAGGTCACCAGTGACCTCTGTGTTGACAAATCCAGAGGCTCTCATTCTGCCTTTATGTTTGCATATCAGCATGTGTTAGTTGGTGACTCCACTTCTGAAGGTCCTTGTTACTTTGCTGGTTGACACTCATCTCCCCAATCCTTGACATTGTAATATTCCTGGATTCAACTCTTGGTCCTCTCTGAACACATTTCCTTAGTAATCTTACCTAATATTATCATGAAACATCTTTGTTCTGACATATACCAAATTCATGTCTCCCTCTATTGATTGGACTCATGGAATATTCCATTTGACATGTTTTATCATTTCAGATTCACATGACCAAAGTAAAATTCTAATGCCAAGTATAGTGGCACATGCCTGTAATGTCCATGAAATCTTCTCTGTGTGCCCCGTCAATTCTCTGCACACCTCTATTCCTCCATAATTGTTTATGCTTGTTACCCTCATTCCAAATGTAACCTTCATAAAGGATTTTTGTCTCTTGTTCACTAGTATCTCACAAACCACTTGCTGTTACAGCAGTAATTGCTGTTGAAAGGTTCCATTATCTTGAAGATAAAAAGGAAAGTCATAATTTTGAAAATGATGTACTAACTACAGGAGCTAAATTGATTTTTAGAGTATGTCAGCAATAGGATGAAAAACATGGCCTCTATAATTCAGAAAGTCATAGATAAAAGAGGTAAAAATGGAATTAATACATGATGAAAGCAACTTAGGTCAGCTACAAGGGAAATGAATTAAAATAACTTGTTAGCAGTGGTTCTCAACCTGTGGGTCGCAACCCCTTTGGGAATATTCAATGACCCTTTCGCAGGTTGCCTAAGACCATCAGAAAACCCAGGCATTTGCATTACAATTCATAACAGTATCAAAATTACAGTTATGCAGTAGCAACACAATTAATTTTATGGATGTGGTCACTGCAACATAAGGATCTGTATTAAAGGGTCTCAGCATTAGGAAGGTTGAGAACCACTGTGCTAGAGGATGCTGGAAAGGTGACTCAGTAAGCACCTAGTCTGTAAGCATAAGGGTCTGAGTTCAGATTTCCAGAATCCACGTAAAGAGCCAAAGAAAGTGAGTACTTATGACCCAGCACTATGGTGAGCAGTTACAGGTGGGTCTGCACAGCTCAGTGGTCAGGCAACCTAACCAAAATAAACGTTATCTGGAGACGATCACGTGGAGAGCAATAAAGCAAAACACCCAGTGTGCACATGCACAACACATACTGAGTACATGCACACCACACAACACATATACTAATAGTCATATGCTAGAAAGCAAAAGCAAATGCAACATGCATATTATTTCCTACAAAGAAGAAGGGATAGGATTGCTTAAGAAAGTTGTGTAAGAGAGAGGTTCTAGTCAAGCAGTGGTGGGACATGCCTTTAGTCTCAACACTCAGGAGGCAGAGGCAGGTGGTTCAAAGCCAACCTGGACTATAGAGTGAGTTACAGGGCAGCCAGAGACACACAGAGAAACCCTGTCTCAAAAAATCAAAGAGAAATAGAGGGAGAAGTTCTAGAGGCTGGAAGGGGAGATAATTGGATCTTTAAAGTTACTGAGAATTATGTAGTGTTCTAAAACTAGAAGTGAGCATCATGTTTTCCTTTGATTAAAGCTTCAATTTTGAGAAAATCATCCCAAATAAAAAAGATTTTTGTCAACTACTTGTAGGCTTGGGACTGTACAGCTCAGTGGTAGAGCACTTGCTGGCCATGCGTGAGACCTTAGGCCTCAGAGTTAAAGAGAAAAGTCCTTTAAGTACTGAGGGTACCTACAAGAATACACACATTAAACTTAGCTGCTGTCTCTAAACTACACATCACTAAGCTATCATCTATAGAGTTTCAAGAATAACTATGACTAAGGAATTTCATATACAAACCATGAGTACAAAAAGGAAGGTTCAAAAATATGAAACACTACCAGACTGACAATCCCCTTGGAATCAAAGTCCAAGACATTGAATAGTGTTCCCAGCACTTGCACATGTGATGTGTGACAGGCGAAGCTGGCACCTAACGGGGAGACAATCACCAGACCCCTCAAGCTGCATCACCTGCCCTAATCAAATGCCCGTGTAAACATCTTCAATTCTGATGGTGCCTATTTCTGTAATCAGTGGAGATGAGGGCTAGGTGGGTGACTATCTCCTGACAGAAAAGGGTCATTAGTTCTCAGACTTATTTATTTGCATTCATTCTGTCCTTTGGTTCTGGGGTGCTAAGGCTTGAACCCAGGACCTCATACATGCTAAGCAAGCACTGTACCATTAAGCTATCTCTCTAGCCCTGAGTCAAAGCTTTTTTCACATTATTCCTGTGTTCCTATTAGCAAAGCTGCCAGCAGCATTTCCAGCACCCAGTATGAAATAAAAATGTAGAGGGCTTTGCTCAAGGAGTGAGGAAAGAGGGACCTTAAGGCACTAGTAAGTAAAACATTTTCTTTAAAAATTACTAGTAAAGCCGGGCAGTGGTGGCACACGCCTTTAATCCCAGCACTCAGGAGGCAGAGGCAGGCGGATCTCTGTGAGTTCGAGGCTGAGCTGGACCGATAGCCTCCAAAACAATACAGAGAAACCCTGTCTCGTAAAAACCAAAAAAAAAAACTACTAGTAACAAAATATATCAGACTCATCATTATGAATCCCTAGGAAAACAAAACCACAATAGAATAGGACCCCACATCCTAGGATACATTACTATGAAAGTAACAATAATAGCACAGGTTGGTGAGAATGTGAAGAAATTAAGCATTTGTACCCTGCTAATGAGAATAAAAATTGGTACAGCAATTATGAACAACAGAACAATGGATCCTCCTTATAAAATTAAAAATAGAATTACCATATGATCCAGTTGTGGAGCTATTTCTCTTTGTCTTAGTTAGGGTTTCTATTGCTGTGAAGAGACACCATGACCATGGCGACTCTTATAAAAACATTTAATTGGGGCTGGCTTACAGTTTCAGAGGTTTAGTCCACTGTCATCAGGGCAGGAGCAAAGTGGCACGTGGAAAGACACAGTGCTGGAGAAGGAACTGAGAGTTCTACATCTTGATCTTCTGGCAGCAGCAGGAGACTGCCACTCTAAGCCTAGCTTGAGCATACGAAACCTCAGAGTCTACCTCCATAGTGACACACTTCCTGCACCAAGACCACACTTCCTAATAGTGCCACTCCCTATGGGCCTATGGGCACTGTTCTTTAAGCACATGTGCCGATGGGAGTGTACAGCACACAGAGTTCTGATGAATCTGCAGACAGGACTTGGACAAGATACGAGGTCAAGTGCATCTTACAGAAGGTGTGGGACAGAGCACGTGTGCTCCTCTGCTCATACGCATGCTCCATTATCACATTAGATTTCACATACAATCACAAGTTAAAGGAGAAATTATTGAGAATTCAAGACAGTGGCAGTGCTGTTAACACTGCCCCCTCCTGGCAATACCTTGCTTGGGCAGCTTTGTGGCTGTGCTCATCATGCCCACAAAGGCAGTCCTGCTCTTCGGCAGCTCTCTTGGGGCATTTACAGATTTGCTACATGATTGCTAAAAGACAGACCCCACCCAGAGATGACCAGTTAAGTGAAGTGAGGTGTAGT